GAGGACAGTACAGCAATTTATGAACCTGAGGCAATCGGTGATCCAGCTCCAGTTGTGCTTCATGACGAGGTGAATGACACCATTCCGTTCAAAGAAGTAGGACCTTCAACCGATCAGAGGTTAATACACCAACAGCCGCCCCAACCGGAACTAAGGGAATACAAATCTCTAACGCCAACATATACTATGGAATCTATTCAGGGCGTATCGGAGTCTCCACTTTTATCGTCCTCATCATGTCATCGAACACCTATTTCTCACATGGACAGTCCTTCTACACCAGAACTCGGCTCTTCGTTCTTAGCGTCCAAGAAGTTGCTTGTAAAGGTTGTGAAAGCTGAAGCATTGACTCTCAAAGGTTAGTTCTTTTTGGTATTTGACAGCCTGCTTTTTGGTTTAGTTAACGATGATAAATATATACTCATAAAAGCTTGAAATCCGCCAATTTTCTACTTACATATTTTCAAAGAATATTTCACAGGTGCTCTTTGTATGAGTCTTTGTTTTAGTTGAAGCTTCTTCTTAACATCAAACTGCCCCAAGCAGACAGGATTTTCTAAGGAAAATGAAAGTGGGAACCACAGAGATACAACAAACAACTAGCTCTAGTTTGTTTACAAAATGCTTTGGTATTAAAAACATCGAAAATGGTGATTGTTTTTCAAAACTATTTGGTAAGCGTTTTATATTCTATTTTATTAATGGTTCCTCCTCCTTTGGAAATAAGTAGACGTAAAATTGAATTACTGACTAATTTTCTCTTATTGCACCTATGAGTTTTGTCCTCCCCTGATCTTCTAGCTAGTCGATTAGGGCAAGTTCACTTTGAGCAGTATCAGTTTTTATTAAGTTTTACATATATTAGGGAGTGCTGGTTTAGCAAGATACCAACAAAGTTAAGTTGAATGATTTACCACTGGCAGATTTCGCTACATTTCAATTGGTAGAATACCAACTGAAACAGCGACATAAATCATTTGACCGTGCATCGGTCTCAAAGAAATACTACACGGTTGAATGTTTAAACTATGAAGACTGTCCAGGTAGTAACCGCGTAACTGAGAGTGAGTTTTTTAATAGATTTTGCCAACCTGAGAAGCCAGGGATTGATGTGATTGGCCCTAAATCGGTCTGTTGAATTCAGACCGTGATTCCTCATCAATAAATATTGAGCAAAAATGACGCCGGTCGCTTGCGTGTTCGGTGTTTTTAGGTAAGGGTGGTGGTGATGAAGTTGAGTGTGTTTGTGTTAGCTATGGGCGACGCGTGTTTGTGTGGGAAGGCCGAGGGTCAGAATTTAGATCATTTTATTCCATAAATCGGAGCTCACTCAGATTATCCCAGAAAATAACTGTTTCAGTTATATAAGCTAAATTTATTCAAGAAAACCCCTGGATTAAAGTATACTCTTTATAATCCGATGGATTGTGAACACTTGTATTCCCCAAGTCGACTGATACTGTCCCCAAAACTTCCGGAAGCAAAATTGAAAAAGCCTGTGAATGAACATACATTTATAAATCCGAAAAGTTCTCACAAGCCAGTTCTAGCTTATCTTGGTGGCAATAAACGTCGGCTTATTTGGGCAATAGGGTTTCTTGAGCCACACGGACATACAATCTTTGTCTCAAGGATATCTGAGCCGACTGACTGAATGCCGCTCATCTACCTTTCAGAGTATCTCTGATAAACTCATCTGTTTTTGGTTTGCGCAGACTAGTCCTATCAGGCTGTCGGGCAAATTATAAATTGATTTATATGTCACAAAATGTCTTGTATCATGATTTTTTAAAACAGTCTTAGTCTATACAAGTGTGGAATAGAATGCTAATCAATAGACTACCAAATTCTGTGACAAACTCACTGTAACATAACAACTTTTGCAAATTATTTGTGAATAGAAAAGCTGGTTTAGCCTATTAGCAATGAACTCAGTGGTTTTCATCTTTTTATTCGCAACATCCCGTTTTCTGCCATTATATAGCAGTGCTAAGGATGCTATCTTTGATAGCTTATGTGGGAAATTGATGATTATGGTTCTGGGTTGTGAAATTAATAAACTTTGAGTGACGCAACGCATCCGCGTCATCGGGCCGTGACACAACCCTGTCGCTTATCAGGTCCTATTAACTAAGTTTCTTAACGTGATTGATCTTCCGACTATCTCCGTTCACGGTAGATGTTCAGTCACAGACCAAGGATTGTGCAGTTTCATAGGACGTTTTAAAACTAAATGTGTTAATATGTCTTTCAGATGATGTCGCATGCAAAATACAGTGATTACTCTTACCTCATTTATTCACGCACAAACATAATAACTACAAGGAAAGCCTGAATTCCTACAAGTCAATTTAAAAATAATCCGGATAATCTTTTCCTTCTCCTCTTTGTTTTTATGTTCCGAGTATACCGCTCTACTGAAACATTCTCTTAGGAAAATCCTGGGGCATAGTATGTCAGCTTACGGAGTATAAAATTTCATCCTGGATTCTCTCGCTTCAGCTACATCGAACGCGTATTGTGTGGTGGAATTGGATGAACCATATCAACGCCACACTACTCATTGTTCCTCTGCCGGTCAACTGTTCTGGGACCAGCATCTTTTGTTGTAAGTTATGCAAGCTTGCATGCCCTCACTCGTCAACATACATATCCGGCATTGAGATGAAATAAACTAGTACACGAGCATGAGTCATAGCATCGGAATGTATGCGCACAAAACGTTAGTAGCTGCTTGTTTTTTTATTTTCAATGCAGGAGAGAGGGATAAATTATCGTCTTTCTGTTAGTCTATACATACACGATGTGCTGAAATTGCAACTCAATTTTGGTAATCTTTCTCAAAAAGATATTGATCTTTTGGTGATTTTAATTACGTGTTGTTGAAAATGTTTTCGTAATCTTTTATTCTCAAAGATTCCAAACAAAAAGCAGTTCTGTCAAATCTTAACCACTAAAATAACTGTTATTCTTGGTTTACCTTCGCTTCTTATAAAGTACGCGTCGATATTTGGTCGCAATTCACAATTAGTTTTATTTGAAATGGCATATACCGAGGAAATCTACCTATTTTTATCGTCAACTTCTCAAATAGCATTGTGCTGTCACCGAAATTCCAAGTAATTATAAGTGTGTATTTTGGGAGATAATCGAGTGCGAATCATTAGTGTTTGAATTGCGAAAAACCGTAATCCTCGATGGGGCTCGAACACACATGGACGCCGAAGCGTAAGGTACGGCCAAGCTTGATTTCACACCCAGCGTAGGATCCTGATTCCTTTAAAGTCAAATCGTGAAAAATCGTCTTCAGCGTTATCAAATTACCTTACAACGAATCATAGCTAATGAACCGACGCTCTTTTAAATTGTGCAAATTTGAGCATTGCGTAACTGCGTTTTTCTATTTGATTATGCGATGCGTATTTGAATTTCTACTCACATCAAAACTTTGTTTGTGTCGAAGGTTTGGGCAACATGGATTCACATTTTGTCTTCTAGCGAACAAAGCACAATTTTAACGAAAATAGGGTTTATGATCATCTATCTATCTATCTATCTATCTATCTATCTATCTATCTATCTATCTATCAATTTATCCATCTAATCTTTTTATTTATCCACCTTCGGTAGTATAACATTATTGTTAATTGATATATTTGTTTCCTTCACACAATCCTGCATCTTTCTCTGCACTGCAGTGCCGTCGCTGTGAATAATACGCGTTGATGTCTAAATTATTTATCCATTTGTTAGTGTCAACGTTTCTTCAAGATCAACTTCAGATCGGTTCACGCACTGTTACTGACCAATTGTTTGAGATTCCGAATAGTGGGGTGCATTTGGTAAAAAGAGGATGGTTTATGTATTTCACTGGGCATTCCTAAGTGTCTGCCTGTGATAGAAACAAGAGTACAAGGTTCGTAAAGGGTGGTCTCTCGTTGTAAATGCTTGCTTGTGTGTTTGTGCGTGTGTGCTGAAGCAGAAGAAGGACTGTGTTCTTACCGCGGAAGCACATATGCTGCTCTAAGTGGGTTCTGGCCAGTCACAGAATCCCAACCTCCCGCTTCACTGAGTGCACATGTACACAGCTTTATTTAGTAAGTCACCACGTTACCATTCAGAATGAGGCGGGTGCATATGTTCGAACAGATTTGGACATATGTTTATTTTGACCGCGAACAGCGGCCAGGAATGGATGTTACAGACGTGTTTTGCGGGTGGTAGTGAACCAGTCTCATTTCGTTCAATTCGATTCGCATTTTGATGAAAGTTACATCGTTCATAGGAACAACTGACTTTTTCCGGCCTGGGTCATTCGCTGTGGATTGTATTTTCCTCATCACTGACCATAGATATCCTAAAACACGAATATGGTTATTCCTGTATGTCCCCTTTGTTCGAGTGCAACAGGTTGCGGCACAACCTCCAAGGTCACTCTTTTGTATAAAGCATTCGTACAGCACGTTGGAGAATTATATTTGTACATTTATCCTTTTTCTCTAATATCTGTATGTTTATACTTTGAGGTGTGCTCATAACGCGGTGAACATGGTTTTCTTTTTATCGATAACTTCATCGATTTTTATCGGTAGGCATCATTCCGTACGTACGAGTTTGTTCGCTGTTCCTGTGGATCATCACAGCACAAAGCAACACAAACATCGTGAAGGTTTTAGTCTATTAACTCGGCCTTGTTACCAATACAGGATTATAAAGAGCCATAGGTTTCTCAATGAGGAATACAAAAAGAATCACACAGTACGAACACAAGACCGTATAGTAACACATTAACGAAATCTATTCTCTTTGTCTTATAACGAACACCGTGCCAAGCCCATGGAGGTGGCTTTCAGTGCGTTTCTGATTTCCTGACTCGGCATAATCAACATTGGCATTTAGTACGAGAGGAAAATTTATTCTCATAAATAGACACCTGTTTAGTAGTAATTTTTGTCATCGATGTTGTATCTCTGTTTCTGTGTATGATTTTTGAGTCATCGTATAACTCATTGATTAACAGTTTCGGTAAATACGAAGAAACTTTGACATTGCCCATAAAACCTTGTCTAAATTGTGTTATACATTGGAGGAATTCCTGAAACTACGTTTGTAGCGGTATTTCCCAACGATAATTGTGGTGTATTGGGACTAGTGATATCCCAATTTTGTTGCCGTTTATCAATATTTCCTAAATTGAGTACCCTCTATCAATTCAGGCAAAACTGTCATCTAAGGTCTACATAGAAATAAGCCTTACGACGGTAGTTGCTCATCAAGCAGAAACGCGGATTCTTTGGACATGCAAAAGCGTGATAATCGGTGGGCGGTTTCTCCAATAGGATGCATCAAGTACAAAAGCTCTCGGTGCATGCCCTACTACCGCCACCTATCTTTAGCGATGGACAGCTCCCTCATCGCCCGGTTGAATAGCACGTCTAGGGATTCGTTTGTCACTCCAAGTTTCATGGATTTGGCTGCCGGTTCTCAAAAGTGAGCGACACATTCACATGATTATGCGACCTATTCTTTCAACTGCTGACCAAGGTGCAATAGAAAACAGTGAAGAAAAATCACTGAAGGATCCCAGCCGATTATTTGTGCACCTTGTTCAAGTTTTACTGAATACTTGCCAATAAATGGGATATGGATAACTACATGGTTTTCTAAACCCATTATATTTCTGTTCGCTGCAGAACACACTGCCGTCGAGTATGATTAACATAGGAGCAATAGGAAATCGTACTAAGCCGGGAATGAAGGGCTTGTCACTGAAATAGTTGTGGGAAGTGAAGTAATCAGCAGATCAAAAAGGAAAGAATAATTATTTCCGCCCTAGCTGGAAGCCAGTGGAAAACTTTTGATGTTTTTGGCAGCTTTACCTTATGCATGAGCAAAGCAGTACCACTAACTTATGTGAACGAGGAACTCATCTAGCATCTGACCATTACTTGATACTAGTGATCAGTGGTAATTACTGTTAGAACCCGAGGCACCAATTGCGTATTTATGATATTTGAAATGAGCGGTATGCAAAGAAACGAAAATGTGAACCGGTTTGGGATATATGCAGATTATAATCCATTCTTTTATACCTGTTACACATTTATTTTCCTCTTTCCAGCGATTTGAATACGAATTCAAAGCGGATNTTTGAACTGTCTAAACGAAAAAGTGAGTCCTCTTTCTCTAGATCATTTTTTCCTAGTTCTCTAATCGCTTGTTTAACGTGTTTCGTTCATGATTTTAGATACTGCAAAAGAGTTTGCCGCCGTAACACCAGTTTATATTGCCCCCCCACCAATACAGGTATAAGTTCTGACCAATTCTTTTGTCATATCCATAATTGCGGTACCATATGTTCTATTCACACATTTCGACAAACCGGATTTGTTGAAGGCATTTTTTGTAACAGCCCACCTTATATTTCTCACTCTATGAGTATAAAGATGTGGATCACTTTTAATTTTAATTGAACCCCGCTCGAAAATTCTCATCTTGACTGTAGTCACATTCACAAGCGTCGGCACAGTTGGATGAACACCCTTAAGTGGTTTACTTCCATGAAAGATTGTGTATGTCAATAAGCTATCTCCCCATGGATTCTTACAGCCTGCAAATCAAAATTCCTCTTCCCACCGACCCAAATAGTTCTTTCTGATTCTCATTTCTCATCATCAGTCAGCGATCAGGGTTGTCCCTTAGGGATCTTTAGTTGACGTGCAATTTAAAATGTTTCAGTTGCCGACGTCAGTTACCTTTCGGCTGGATTGGGAACAGTCATGTCTGAAATAAAAAATAACTGGATTCCCCTTGAACCGCTTTATGCACCTCGGTAGGTGAAGATTCAGTGTATACTACTTTATTCAGGCTGTGAATGTGTTGTCATGCATCACATTCAACATATACCCTTATTGGCTACTTCGTAACTTTGTGTTACACTAACTGGCAGAAATAAATGCCAGCTCGGAGTGTGAAGGGAAGACGGTTGATTTGCTCCGAAGGCAGGTCTATTAATTGCATTGAAGTTCTTCGTCACAGTGACAGCTAACTGATATTTTCGCCGCTACAGGGCTTGGAAGCTGACTCATATACTCTTGATGAGCCTTCTTTCACCAAAATGAATATCCCTGATGTCTTTCGTGGTTGTTTTTACCTATCTTGAGCATTTGTTCCTTAGGCGGATGAATTGTTCCGTATTTGTTCAAATGCTTGCGACGAACACGCTGTATGAAGTTCTCTAAAACAGTTATTTACGTACCTAGGCATGGGACCAATCAACTTACCCCCTCCAATGGTGAACTGTGATGCACCAAAAATTTGAGGCCTTTTGAAATAACTCCAGTTCAAAGGTTAAGATGCTGGCTGTTGTGTGCTCATGGCATTCCTGATCTTTTGAACGGACACCGTTGATAATCAAACAAAGACGGATTAAGATCTCGGTGGCCAATGCAAAGCTTTATCGGTGGAATATTGACTGGGACATGCGGTGTTACTCCATGTGCGGCCAAACATCGAGCCCGATTATCTAGATATACGACTTATCGTTCGTTTTATGGCTTGTTGACGGATTACTCAAAGGTCAGAGAGGACAATTCAAGTTGTAATTGCAACGTACTTATGCCACTATCCTCACTGATGGTAATTCCTTGCCGTATGGAATGTAAAATGGATGAACGGCAAAAGCAACCCTATCATCTTGTAACGGAATGACTGGACTGAAGAATGTTTTCGTATTCCGATAAATCCCTTGTGATCAATGGCATCCGTAACGAAAAACCGTCCATTTTAAGATATTAACTCTGTTATCAATCTCTTTAGTTCAGCGTTGCTAAAGCCAACACAGTGTAGAGTTTCAGCTCATAAAGCAACTGTGGGGTTACTTGGGTCACAAGATTAGGGGGGGGGGGGGGGACNGGGGGGGAGGACACAGTTTCACTAGCCTGGAAGGTGCTTGGCTCATAGCTTGTAATTAAATGCCCATAACGTTCTTTAATGGACTGGTTGAAAGTGTGACGTATAGGATTGTTGATGGGATTTCAATGGCACATGAAAACTTGAAGTGTGAATATGAAATGAGGAGCTTATTTTTACTCATAGTGGATGTAAATTTACTTAAGATTTAGCTTTTCACTTTTATTTCTTCATCAACTTAATATTGGGGACCAGATTTACGTGGTAAGACAAAATGTTCTTGATGAATTACAGTGCACTTTTCGATGTTTACTATTGTGGGCATTCTATTGGCTTTCGGATTAAATGTTGCAGCAGGAGTTCCTTGTTTGAAAATATAAAACCCATTGCAACAAAGATTTTGTGATGCATCTCACTGTACAACTAATCTCATCTAACTGCAGATAAAAACTGAACCGTTAGAAAATTTTGAGAATTCGCTTATTATTAGATCACTAAGTGCTCCGCCAGTTAAGAATGTGTTCGAGAAATTCCTACTCTCCTTGGAGCACGTTTGGGTTCCAATGTTTAACGGATTCTTTGGGAATATCCTTTAGAATTATTGGTTAGTACGGAACTGAAACAGCCATCCGATTTTCGATTTAACTTGGGTATCTTAAAGCACTGATTCTTGTCGTCTATGTTGTTGAACTACACCCCTGATTGATCAAGGACAGAAAACTCATTACCTGATACAGTATCAAGTTTGGTTTGGGTGTACAGATTGTATACTTTGCTTGCGGCATGCTATTTAGAGGCTGAACCCATCTCGCTCTTCAAACGACAGATCGATCGCGTTCGGCTGTTTACAATGATTAGAAAATTGGTCAATTTGACGTTCCCAATAGGATGTAGTTAGTGTACCGTCTGTGTTGACAGTATGAGATAGGCCGATTTTGCCAGTGCAGAACGCAGTGAACCTTTACAGGTGCCACCTTGCATTAAATGACACCGTTGCTAGAACTAACCGATCATGATATCCTTGTCTTTGATGTCATTGTGTTTATTCTCCCTTGCAACGTTGCTAAATGAGTGAAGTGAAACTGGTGTGTATTTGTACAGTTTTTGGGTCAATTGCTTTACTTTTTAAGTGCATCCTATTGAAAAAAAGCCTTGAGTGAAAGTGAAACTTCAGTGAAAAAATTCTTACGAATGCACATTTCCTTTCTCCTTTCTCATACCACACTGAGAGACCGCGTTAACTCCAATTCTCTCTCTCTTTCTAATTCCACAGAATCTGTATCAAAAGGAAGAGCTGAACAGTTATTAACTAACCTGCTTTGTCCCTCTGCATCCTCAACCGAAATGGATCAGGATTCCGTGCTTTCCAATTTGTGGGATGCCTCAGAACCCCGTCGACGTTTACCCCTGCTGTCCACATTGAGTGCTTCTGTTTTATCATCCTCAACTTCTACAGGTCCAGCTCTGAGTTCAGTGCTCTCCCCGTCCTCTTCGTCTGGCAGCGCAAATGTCACCGCTCCCGGATCACCAACAGCTCAATCAAATCCCACTATTACAGCTGAGGTAGGTGCGGATTAGGGCGTGTTACGATTGTCCCGCTCCGTGTTGCATTGCTTCTACTGTTTAATTGTCATTGATGATTTATCTGATACCAAATTGTCGAGTGGGTATGGTTAACCCTTTTCATCTGTTTATCTATAACCACCACCTTGGACGAATGCGGTCGAGATCGATCGAATCCGAAACCTTACACCACCGGACAGTTGATCCGATCAGGTCAAAACAGCTGCTCAAAACCTTCTAGTTTTTTGGTACACTGTTCGTTTGCTATGTACACCACGAATTGCACTATATAATTTATTGAAATCCCCCACTTCTCTCAGATGGCAATTGCAAGCCCTTTTCTGTTTTCCGATTTGGGCAGCAGTTCAGTGCACAGTATGTGATTACAACCGTATGTCGCAATATCACCTGTATACTCCGGGGGCTTTGTACGGTTCATCACTCCGGATCACTGTTCTCACGTTCCTGAGTTTGATCGACCGATAGTACGTCCTCGTTATTGTTGGGTTTATTCATTCCACTTAACGTCAGGCCTAGCTGTGTAATAAAAGGCTCAATTCTGCTCCATTTGTAGCAAATTCTCATGATCATTGATTTCAGCCCTTATGTTTCGCATGTGGCACAGGCAACCATAATTTACCAGCAGACTATTGAGATCAGATCTTGTTTTCATAGTGTTGGTTTGAAGGAAGGCCTAATTTGATGTAAACCCTATGAATTGTGATTTCCAGCTGAATTAGGGCCAACAAACACGGATGGTCCGATTGGATTGCACGGATTTCTTTGAAGTAATATTTTATCCTCCCAAATTATAGTGTGTTTACGAAATAAAGACGACAAATCAAACCACGTTCACAATCAACTTTTGCTGATCAGAGGTAATCAACTGCAACTAAGAGTCTCGTTCGTCTTTTAGTTGCACTTGGTAATTCCACTCGGTATAGCTTCACCTTGATTGTGTGACTCATTGACAGAGCTACTTGGAGCGTCCTCATGTCGCGAATACAGAATGACCACCAAGTTGTTGACTAAGAGTACACAAGTTCGTCTAAGGATCTCCTGATATGAGGCCGTGCACGATTTGTGGATGTGAAGAGCACGTGGTGGGTTTTTGCTTTACAGGTGTCTTCCTCATAAAAGACAGTACGGTGACGAGGCGAATGTTCTCCATCACCACTGAGTTTATCATCCCTTATACCCTTCTCTCTATTCTCAGTTTCAGTTTTTACAACCATTGCTCATGCTCTTCCGTGCACTAGTTTTGGTAGCTGTCTCATGACTGCCCATTTTGACGAAGGATTTATTCAATTGCTCTGCTTGTCCTTCCAAAGGAGACGAGTGAACCAAACCAATAGTCATGAACTTACCCAAAACAATCTTGCTGCATTGCAGGTTTCACTTTAGACGTACAAACGCTAGCAGTGCGATCTCGAATAAGAAGGTCGTAGGATGCTGCAGACACCACTTTTAATCTTATTCCTGAGAATCCTTGTGGACTACTGAGATGCATGGAGCTGTCTTATCTTCTTTCAGGAGAAATTCGTGTGAAAAGCTGCGATCTTTTGGATCCAGGCGGACTTACTATAAATTACCTCAGCTCAGGGATGGCGGTGGTGGTGATGGTGATTAAGGGATTTTGAAGGCGCTATCATCAGCATGCGTTCGACACTAGGGTCCGATGTTCAAACCCTGTCACCGCCACCGAACTTTGGTGGTAGTAGCATTGCCGCCATACAGCTCCTATTATTGAGGGCCCCCATGCTGTTCACTATATCGTGTCTGGGGCTTTGGTTTCCGGCTCCCGTACGTGATCAGTAGGTCCTCATGTGTGTACTGCAAATCAGATTTGCTTTTTATTCCCTAAATGCTATCCTCTAGGACGATTTTCGAGGTTAAGTATTGATCAATCTCATACATGAAAATCCTCTTCGTCAATAAAATAATTAGTTTTGGGTTACGGTCTATCGATATGCGACCGCGGTCTAACAGTTATCAGTTCTATTCGTTAATCAGTCTTACACACAGAGCTATATCGGTCGTCTCACGAAAAGTTGCTAATGATATCCAAATTACCCATGTCACTAAGTAGATTGGCTAGGCGATTAATGGGTAGAGAACAATCAAGCGTGGTTAAACTAAAATGTGATATGAGGGTACGAAAATCCTAACCTGGAAACTGGGACATGTAGGTTAGGAAGGTGATGGCCCGGTGGTAATGTCACCAAATTATCACTCCAGGGAATGTATGTTCGAATCCCACCAACCGATTATGTGTTGTATAGCAGCCCTTTTATTGTACTCTTTTCCCTTCCTGAAAGTTTTATCGTTATATATTCAATAAAAGAAATGAAAAACGAAAAATCAAGGGAGGAAGAAGGCTTCCTGCATGGCGACAGTGGGATCAAGCTGACTGATGGTTAAACACAGTGAGTGTCATAAACAGTGGCGCATATTCATCTGATGAATATCCCTGTACCCTGAATCTATCTGAGTTCTCTATTTTCATTTTGCTCTTTTATTCCAGTGGGTAGCCGAAGGATGTGATTACCACAACCACCGCATCAATGTGTATGGTTAGTGGTTGTGTAATTCAAACTAAATGAATATCTAATTGGCCATTTACAACAAAGATGGCGTTTATTCGGTATAAGTATATAACCGTTTCATTAATCCCACAGAACAAATTGAGAACAACAGCCTGGCGAACAAGCTCGTTTTCAGTTATTCGTAACCATGCATTACATAACATTAAATATGATTAAAAATAAGAACGAAAAGGAATGAGAAATTGGAGTCCTAATGATTCAGCTTTGGCTCCAATCATGCGTATGTGTTTGTATGAGTTCCCTGCAGATCCGAGGAGGTTTGTCCATAATGTGTCGTCTGTAAACTTGGATAACACTTTGCTTGAAGTGCTATCTCTGGGGCCAAAATTCTGTTGTTCAACCAGTAAGTCTAAGCAATTAGATTTGAAAGTGGAATTTGAGAGTTTATTCGCTTAGCTATCTGGAATGACGCCACCCTCTTCGCAGGAGTTACAGAAACTTAAATCCACACTTGTGAACTCATGTTACCAATATCGCGATCGTAAACCATCAACAAAAGGACTGCTAACTTTGGAACACCTAAAGCGTCTTAGAGAATTTCAAGCCGACAGAGAATTGATGTTATCAAGACCAGACAAAGATGCAGGTAATGTAATCATGAAAAGGTCTGATTACATAGAGAAGATAAGGACGATATTGAATGACCCAAATAAGTTTACAAAGACTCCAACTGAAAATAATGAGACGATTCAGATAGAAAAATTGATTTCCACGCAATTACGGTGTCTGAAGCAAAAAGGAACAATCGATGCACAAACGTTCGAGAGAATACGACCAATGGGTACAACAATTCCTAGATTGTATGGACTTCCGAAAGTACACAAAGAGGGTGTCCCTATGAGACCAATTCTAGATATGTGCAACTCCCCGTATCACGCCGTTGCGAAATGGTTAGCAAGCGTACTGAAACCAGTAAGACTCGCAATTTGCAAGCATAGTCTACGAGACACTTTTCACCTGGTAAAAACTGTGAAGGACCTCAAACTCGAAGGCAAACAGATGATGTCATTCGACGTTACTTCTTTATTCACAAATGTGCCAATTAGTGAAACTATCAATCACATATTTGGATTTATTCAGAGAAAGAACATCGATGTGGACATTCCATTGGATGAACTGAATCAATTGTTATTCGTATGCACGCACAACGTCCAGTTTCAACTCAATGGTGAACTATATCGCTAGAAGGACAGGGTTGCAAAATAGAGAATGATCCCCTGAAGCCCTATATCGACGATATGTTGATGACGTGTTGTGTATATTAGAAGCCAATGTGAACACCAATCGATTGCTTGAGGAGTTCAGTATTGTCCATCCCGACTCTGGAAAAAGAAGAGGATATTAGTCTAGCCTTTCTAGACATACTCATACGACACCGCAGCGATAGCTCCGTCCAGGTATCGTTGCATAGAAAAGCAACGTGGAATGGACAGTATATTCATTTCCATAGTTTTGTCCCTCTTCAGAGGAAGAGAAGCCTAATTCGCTCCTTCAAAGGGTGAAGAAAATATGCACGAGGGATACTATCGACAATGAACTTCACTTCTTACGTACTTTTTTACTCAGAATGGCTACCCCGAACGATTTGTCGATAGGGCAATGCTAGAACACGAGGAACGGCCAAAGGAAATAGGAGCAGCGAAGAAGTCTGCCTATGTGCACCTGCCGTTCAAGGGAGATACAGAGACAAAAGTCCTTCAAAGAAAACTAACAAACGCAGTAAGTAGAACATTTTACGCTGCACAATTCAAAGCTGTGCTCACATCTAAACCAATTATGTGTTTCCGACTGAAGGATAGAGTGCCAGATTATGCAGCGTCATTCTGTGTATATTTATTCACTTGTTCCTGTGGGACTGGGTACATCGGCCGCAAGACCAGGCGCTTATCTGATCGCGTTCGCGAACATCACCTGGCTTGGCTGAAGACTGGAACAATTAAGACAATTACGAGCGCGGTGTGTTCGTATCTCATTGAGTTAAATCACTCGGCAAATGTGGCAGGCGGGTTTCAACCGATTTACAAGGTTCAATGCAGGAAATCAAGAGCAGTGAAACATCGTATCTTAGCCACGGCGGAAGCCGTAAGTATTCGGATTCACAATCCCCCCATTATGCGCCCTGAAGAAATTTGTGCGAGCACTTAATCTCCCCTGGCCCACTTCAGCCACTCCAACACGGGTGCAATCACTTGAACTTTTGACACTGTGATTAGTTTTACACAAACACACGCACGCATGATTGGAGCCAAAACTGAATCATCAGGACTCGAATTTCTCATTCCCTGTTTCGTTCTTATTGTTAGTCATATTCAATGTTACGTAATGGCATGATTACGAATAACTGAAAACGAACTTGTTAACTACGTTGTTGTTCTCAACAAACATATAAGACATTTTTACGTGCCTGTTCGTTTCATGCGGCTTCAGTCTTTTTGCCAACCAGACTGTTTCCACTGGTGAACTTCATGAATGCTCTTGTTATTTATTTATGCAAATCTTATTTTTAGCTCAAGTGGTAGACGTTGAGACGAATAAGTCTCGAAGAATCCTTGCAGTGGTTCTGTATCATGTGTTGTGGGTTAGATGCGTCTAACCTAAGCCAACTCGACGCTGGGGCCGATTTTCAGTGTTTTAATAATGAATAGCGTATCAATGATTTGCCAAAAGTTCTCAGAAGTACACTACTAGTTTCGCGGTCGTTGTCGCTCGTCGGGTTTGCATATCCTAGACTTGTTCGTCTCAAAATCCACTCCCCGAGCTGCAAATGAGATTGGCATTGCATAATTCACATCGGGAGTTCACATGTGAGAAGGACCAAACAGAAGATTACCAGTTACACATACCTGACGAGCGGCAAAGACCGCGAAACCGTTCGTGTGCTTCTGGGAATGTTTTTTTGAAGTTATTCATATACTTCTCCTTTTAGGATTCACTGTTATCAGTTTTGTACATTTCTACCAGGATGCATTGATCGAAGTGTTTAGTCTTGGTGAATCTCTAACTTAAACCCCACTTACAACGAACTCAATGGACGGTAATCTGTCCTGGGTCTGTAACTGTCCAAATTACTCCGGACAAGGGAAAACGTCTTTGTTTGATGATCTGTAGGCTCGACCCAACCAGGATACTAAGAACGGTTCCTGGAAGACGCATAAGTTCATCTTGGTAGCCCGTTGATGGCCTGATTTTATCAGGCCACAAGTAAGACTGATCACCTGACAAATATCTTAGGTAGTCTATGCAAACGCAAATGAGAACAAGGTAGCGGCGGTACTGTAAAAGCAAACATTTATTATTGTTCGTAGTTGACAGGGTGAATTTAAGAGTTGTGTTAATACTATCCTAGCTTTTTTATCAAGAGGTTTTGGTACCGTTTCCGGTGGGACTCGTTCAGAAGCCAATCTGAGAGCAAACCATCTTAGCTTTCGATATTTTTAGTTTCAGACCCAGGTTACTAATACAACTGATGGGTGCTTTAAAGTGGTTGAAGCTGTTTTCAAGCTCTACGATATCCCTTGGTTACAGTGTTGTCCACCGAACAAACCTTTTATCTGAAGCAATACAACCACTCAAAGGCTTTTCTTAACCTAAGGTTATCATGGCGGCAGTGGTCAATCGATAGAGGTCACTCGATCAGTCTGGAGGTCGTGTTCGAGCCTCGCCTTTACTGCCCAATCTCTCTCTGTCTCTCGGCAGTCGTTGGTTTTCGGTAGTCTCTTTCCTGAAAATTTACTTAAAAGTTATCTACAAGTTATCGGTAAATCGTACACTGGGTCCTAAGCAGTGCTAAGCGTCGGTCAGAAATCAGCATACTAAAATAAATAATTGTTTTATAGTATGGTGTTTTGGGTTAACCCATGTAGTTTCACAACTAACAGGCATTGTGTAGGGTCTTGTGTGTTGTATAAGGGTAATGATTTCTTTTTTCAATGTTGGGGTTCAAGGTTTTAATTCGGTGGGTTTAAAAATTATGCACAGATCCCAACAGAAACGAAGCATCTTTCTCGGGTTTCTTGTTGACGATGACAAAACAGTCGTATCACCGATACGAATAAGTTATTGTCCTAATTGGTGGACCATGTTGGTTCCGTCTTTTATAGTGCATCGTTTTAAACCTTGTCTAATACGGATACTAATGCAGGGGGATTTTGTTTCTTTCGGAGATATATGGTAACGTCATGCATTGTTAGTGTAAATATATTAAATATCCATTATAGATAATAATACGAGAATAATGCTTGGTTTCAGTCGCTCACCTACTTTCCACTTGCTATTCGCGCAAAATACTGAAAAGGAAACTGTTCAAATTATTCACGGTACAAAAAAATCATTCACTACAGAAAGAGCAATACTATTGCATATCAACTGTGGTGGGATAGTGCATTGGCCAAATGTCACTGGTGCTAATTTTTAACATCTGTTTCAATTCAGACAATTCTTATTGTATATGTCTCTTTTGTACCTTGCATTTCTTGTTGTTTCCTTTGTGACTCACATATACACGCACACAATCCGTTTCGATTCTATAGATTCCAGACGAAAACACCAAATCTAATCTCGTTCTGTGCAGTGCGTACTACGGTATTCCAATCCAGGCATGTCTAATCTATTCACTTATCTAGCTGAGACAAAGATATTGGTACAGTACCTAATCTACTCCATTTATCTTACCACCATAAACAAAACAAGGTCCAGGGACCTGGCCGATCCTATGGCTTACTTGGTCCCTTTTTAGGTTCTCACTGGACCCTGGATTTGGACGTATTTCCAGGAGGGTACGGTGAGGCTGGGGATGGCCAGAAGTTTCAGCAATCTTGATGGTTGACTCTGTGCTTTGTTCTGTCCCACGCTGTACTGGATGGGTGGAACGGAGGTTGATTGCGCGCGCGTGCCTCGTCGACGTTGGTAGAAAGAGTGGGAAATGTGTGCGTGTGTGTACCGGGGTGCCGATTGTGCAACCTAATGGGACCGAACGATGGAGCACTTACGCGTACAGTGTCCAACCCCTGTGCTATTTTACCACAGGTTTGTGAACGAGGCCAAGGTAGTAGGAAGTGATTGATCTGCTTCTCCCTCTCTGTGTGTGTACAATATCAATAGGAGAGGGAAGTGAATTAATCGTACTGATCGTTCATCCCTCACTTAAATGATTAATTTAGTTGTCATTTCTCTTGGTACATTCTTTATCTACTTTGACTCTCTCAAGAGAGAGTTCAGTTTAATTGCAATCACAGAGTACGCAAATCTATGTATCTTTCTTTATAAGCTCCGTCCTCTCTTCCTCGAATAATGTTTTTTCTTCCAGTCACTAATTAGTCATTGATGAAGGCTTTCGTCAGAAAGCTGTAGTGCATGTGCTAGTTCCATTTATAAATATCAAAAGATGACAAACCTTTGATCCCTCTAGATTGTTTAATTTCACTGTACTGCACTAGACGTTTCTACTTCCCCTCTTATTTTTTATCTATTATCTTCATACTTGACTTCGAGCACCCACACACAAACACACACACGCACTACTTTTACCCCTGAACTGACCTCCGCTTCGTTTTTCCGGTCACCACGAAATATAGATATAATTGAGGCATCACCAGCTGCCAAACAGGGTCACTATTGTTTGAAAGAAACCGGCATACGTATATTTTCTTTTAAGGGTGACAAAAACCGAAATAAAAACTGACTAGAGCTGTAGGAAAAAATCCTTCGTTAGCGAGGCTTCGCAATATTTTCGTCTTCAGGCTTTCTTACATTTCCAACTGCCTGTTTCTGCAATCTCTTTCTCATCTGTTCCTGTGGGACAGGATATGTGGCCTCACGAGTAAAATTTTATCCAAAGGAGTCCATGAGCGCTATACACGTTAAGTGAATACCGGAATGACAAGGACCATCATTTGTTCGATCGTTTCAAAACTAGTGGAGTCAAATGTGACCGAGGCATTTTGCTCTCTGTTTGGTTTCCAGTAGTCGATTACGATTAGAAGTCATTTCTTGGCCATCGAGGTAGCTATCAAAACCGTCTAAGCAGCGCTGCTCTACATCCCCCCTCCAAAATTTCTTAAGATCACTTGGTCTTCCATGCTCGACACAGTCATCTCCTCTAGTGACCCAAATCAATGTGTATGTGATGACCAAAATATGGGCAACATCTGGTCATTGAACTAAATTGTAATATTTTTCTACTTTTAACAAATTTTTTCCCACCTAACATCATATCAATTGGGATGAAGTATTTGGCCGATGCGCAACCGATTACGTGCTACTAAGTGATAATGGTATATTCATCTTGCATATTCTTACTCGCCGAATGCCATACTCGAAGTCCATCATATTGATGCTTGTTTGAATTGAACTTAAAGTCGTTTCATACTTGGCAGGATTAAACTATCAGAAACTGTTTTGAGATCTTGACTCTTCTAATTTTCGTTCTCTCTCCTCGCTGACCCCTTGTTCTTCCACGGAGACCTTTCTCATACTCTTCATCTAATCAGTTACCCTGGATTCCATGCAGTATTTGTTCAATGGTGCAATGCTGATGTCTTAGAGTCGGTGTACAACTGGGCCAATGTACCACGAAGTTTGTTTCTGCTAGCTTCCTCAATTTATCGAAATGGTCTTCTAGTTAACTAAACTGATCATAGGATCTGATTAATTGTTGGATTGCTGATCTCCCCCTTAATTATGACCCTGTATGTTATATAAACGGTTTGACATTCAGTTAAGTTAAATGAACAACCATCACCGCAACTAATTTCTCTCTATGTTTCCGACGACAAACTTCACCTCCTTCCCCAGTTTCCTTTTAAAATTTGAGTGTAAAACACTATAGAGCCTTCAAACCTGGTTCAACTAATTTAGCAGGCCTAACTTATGCATTGTTTCTCCTATTCGTCCCCCGTTTTCTGTTACCTGCCCTGGCAGTTTCACTTGATGGAGAAAGCAAACGAGGAAGCGTTAACCGCGCGTCAACGTTTGACTTCGGGAAATCCTATGGCTGTTCATCGGGCATACTCTACTCGAGGGAACGCGCAATCTTTTAGTGCACAAGACAGTCCCATCTTAGGTTCTGCAGTCGGGGTGAATTCCTTGTCGCATTCTACCTCGTTGGAATTTGGCCACACGAAATTCGTTTTGCCCAGACATGCCAATGTGATCGCTGAAGGTCAAGCGGTGGACGAATTCCATTCGACCGCTATACCAAAGGGCGTGGTCACGTTGACTGCAACACCAGCCAGTATTACCCGACCACAACCACTTGGAAGTGAAGAATTTAAAACCAGTGAAGCGATTTCGGTGCCCGGAGCCGGAGGATCACATAGTACCTCGCTATCACCCACTTTGCGCACTGCCCAACTATTCTCCCCAGTTCCTTTACGACGTGCACAAATGGTTTCTTATGAAAGCACCACAACAACTACCGGCACGACGCTGACGACAACTGGCAACACTTCTCCAGCCCCATTTCGCAGTAAACCGCCCGGATTAGAACCAACAGCTGAGGACGGTTCCGAGGAATACGAGTTACCCCGATCTCCGCTCAGCCTAGATCAGTCGTTCGGAGCGTTGGAAAGTGGTGAACCACAACCTATCACCGACCCCTCGGGTTCCGGTAAGTTTTGCAATAGGTTTTCTGTCAAACAGAATTTTTAAAGATAATCAGAAGGATTAAACTGTTTGATCATACTGTTACTAATTCACTTATTGCATTGCACTTTTAAGATCATCTCTAATATCACGTTAACTTTAATTTCAAACAATTCCACTTGAGCTTTTATATCAATGCTTTAAAAAATGAACTGTATCTCCTCGTGTGTACAAAGCGGTTATATCCGCTATCCATCTCGTCCACCAGTTTACTACTAAAGTTGGGCTGCCCCTTGTGCTAGATGAGAAACTTGGAGCTCACAATTAATACTAATGACCTAACGTGAGTTGACTACTTTCTATTTTCCACTTGATTTTGGTTAAAGGTCTCAATAAAAGCCGTCGGGGAAGCCACGATTATACCATTTTAAAAAGGATTTTACTTTCAATATCACCTTTGCAAGGGTACCACAGTGAAATCAGAGTGCCTACTGCAGGCGAAAATATTTATGCGGAATCCAATTAAGTGAATTCAAGCAGTGTCCGGATTGGTCTTGAGTCAGCCAAGGGGATGGCTCATCCTAGCATCCTAGCGAGTGATTCTGTATGGTTATGATGCGCGCATTACATATTCCAAATTAAGTCGACGACGTCAATATCGTATGGATGAATGACTGTCTTTTTCGGACTACATGAGTTTTGCGATTGAATTGGTTATCCCGTTGAAGCTCCTCGGAGTTTTAGCCCTCAGATAGTTGGTTCCAGTTACCAAACTGCAGATACTTTTGGTTGCGAGGATTTATCCATTCTGCTGTTCATCGAACTGAATTTTGACAACGGAACTAAAAAAATCAATCGAAATGTATATTATATACTAGGGATAAGATTTTATTCACCCGTTTCATTTTTTAGTTTGGCAGTATGTTGTACTGAGGAAACGTGAAGATTGTTGCTGTTTTCTTTTCTTTTGGTGAAATCAATTGTTACTGAATGTTAGAGTAAAAAATGTCAACCAAATACTTAGTACCGTAACAGTGTTCTGTTTGTAAGTTCAAAATCGTGTTGCCCGATTCGACATATTTAGGTGGGTTTTTCCATGTTATCCAACCATCGATTTGGGTCTGAGTAGCATGCCATTATGGTAGGAGAACAAAGTTCGGGCTCACACCAAACATGTGTTGTTGATAATCTTTTATACTGACATTTTTCTCTGGGCTGTCACAAGTTTACCGTACTCCCTAGTGTTGCGGGCTGCCTCCAGATGGGTACTAGCTCGGTTGGTGCCTTGACCTCTAACAACCAGCTGCTCCCTAGGCATGAGGATATGATTCATCGTCGGTTGTTTCTGTCTGTCGTGTTGGTCAAACCATGCACATTCGGTGGTGATGATGACCAAACAGTTGTTTCAGTTATTTTTTCCTCTCCTTCGAATTGTGCACAAACCAGTCTCATTGATAAAGTTCATTCCAGGCGATTGGGGATATTATGGGGATTAACAAAAATGCTTGCTCGTGATAAATGCATTAGTTTCTGCAATTCACTAGTTGGCATTGTTAATTGTGTCATACAAGATCTGAAATTCATTGAAAATCAATAGCCTCAGCGTCGCTGCTGTTCGCATCAGTTTTTCATCATCAGAGGACATCAGTGTTTAATACTATGGTTACATTGAGTCTCTTATGCGGTTCCCGTCGAAATGTATTGGTTTATGATTGATGACTGACTCTTTGGCGCTCAAAAGTAAAATTCAGAGGGCTACTTTTTTCGGTTAAAACCTACTCATCTTTATTGAATGGATATTAAGCAATGGGGCCGTATGGGCATCAAATGAATGGGATGAAACAATTTTGTCTTCAATTAAGTTGAATGTGATTCGTATTTATACCAACTTGAATGTGAAAATCTAATATGGATTGATGCATGAAGACGTCAGTGTGGTAGGTATAGGAAACCTATCTTTGTTTTGATAGATGGCCTTTATTCGTGTACTGTCCGATTGGCAGTTATTAGTGCGTAAATAATAGACAAAGGCATCCGGGCGAAGAACAAGATCAAGCGTGGTCGAATCAGCGAGTGCGTGTGTTGGTCTAATATTATTATGGGTCATTCGCTGATAATGTACATCGGTGAGACGTTCTGAACCCAAAGATTGATCTAGACACAACCTCGGTGATAGTGATTCACCAATGATATCGACAAAAGGAGGTGCATCTGACTAATGTGGGACAGTTATATAGATCATTGATCGACTTAGAAACTAAGTTAACTTCGAGTTCCATCAAATAACGTATCGGCTTTCTTCATGATTGGTGCTACTTTCGGTTTGTATTTCTCCTAACAGAACTGAGATCAAACTCCGTGGCGGGCAACATAATCATCGTCCTCAAAGCAAGTCAAGAAAGACTGTATTTTTCCTTGTGGAGATGGTAAATTTTCAGCTTTTTGTTCACGAAGTAATTGACAATGAATCACCATATTACGCGAGCACACATTTATTAAGTTGTTCCCTCATTGAATCTAACCTGTTGGAGGCTCAGTTTGGACACAGTATGTGCGCAGTGATGACGTGCTGCAACAAGGAAGAAACGGTTGTTGTCTGTCATTTCTCAAAATTTCGTCACAACTGAAATGAATGTGTATAATGATGTCAGTGGGGTCAAGCATACACTATGTAAAACCTAAGTGTTTTATGAGTTTCCGGTTCAAGAATACTTCGTAATCGGGATTTATTTTGTTTGTCAATAAATACAGTAGCCAGTTCACTTGGTTACAGATTCACTCACCTGTCCCGAAAATACGGCAAACAAAAACAGTCTCTGACCTAATCAAACCGTAGTGTTCCTTTACCAACTCCATCTTTTCTCTATATTATGTTCATTGCAAATCTCGTTACTTGGCCTGTGTAGCGTTCACTGGACGGTACATAGAAATGTACGAGTGTATATGTACGTGTACCATCTCTGTGTGTTTGTGTGTGCGCGCGCGTGTAGTGCTGCTAGTGACCTTGGCTCCTTTTTCCTCTCACTTTCCTTCCGGCAACATTAGGTCGATCTAACACCCACATGCAGAAAAGCACTCCCGATCTCATAGCTACGAAACATCTGCACGCGCACCAATGCACGCAATCAGCGTGCCGATTTCCTCCGTAACAAGCACGCACACAAATACGGTCACAAACACGTGCATATTGTTACGTTTGTTCTCGTGAGGTTCCCCGTTTAGCTAATCACCCCCTTCCCCACAGAATTCCGCAGATCCTTACGCAGTACTACGGAAGGAAAAACAAGTGCAATTCGGCCAGTAGTCGTTTTGTACTCTTGGGTATAGTAGTCCTCTCTCCTTCTCGAAGTTATCGCTGTCGTTCGGCCGCCAACCAGATTTCCGGCTTGTCCGTGTCCAAAATCAGTTTCCTTGGTATAATCATGGTAGTGGTTATTGTACTAAGAGGAGACTGTGCTATCAGTTCGCATTTTCCTTCGCTGCATCTTTGTCGTGCCTACTCCTGTTCACATCGGTGTATGATCAAGTGATGCAAAAACTGACACAAATGTGCCTTCGGTGTCATGAACAAAAGAAAAGATTAGCTCGTTTTTTGAATACATTAACTTTTGTTTACTTTATGATGTTCTCAATGCACAGGTGTACGCTTTTACACAGTCGTTTGGCTTGGTGTCACCATGCATCCAATTGTTTTCCGGATGTGATAAACAATGTCAGCTCAAGAATGATAGGCGGATGAGAAAATTCAAATGAATTTTTGTTGTAGAAAAACTCACCAAGAACTGGTCGATTTTCCCCGTGTCACTACTGATAAAGTAGGAAATCAACAACGCGAGACGCTTTGCGTTTTTCCACTAATTTAAAAGATAGATCCACCTTGGACTTGCCATTCATATTGCTTACACTCGTTTCAAACCTGTACACAAGTTTGCTTCTCCGAATGGTCTGTAGCTTATGGTCCTGGTAGTCAAGTTTCGCATGTTCACTCAATGAATGTTGGGATGGCTTGAAACTGGTGCCGTGATTTTAGTTACTATCATCGAGCTAACCCACCCGCGATCGATAGAAGGAACAAGAATAATCGAATGATATACATGTTGTATTGGTGAAGAAGAAATGCAACTGCATAAGATCCCCGATTTGCACTCTGAGTTGTGTTGGTTTTGTGGGGCTGGTGGACTGATCAGGCTGAGATCAGATGGACGGTGTACCGTGTAATCCCAGCGTTCTTATCCAGGTGTTATCTGGATCCGTGAAAACAAAAAAAGAGCAGTTCAATGCATTAAATGGCAAAGCATAAGAGCGAATCGTCCATATGGTATAGTAAAACGCACGGCAAGCGAATATCGTGTCAGGGGACATGCTACGGGAAAAAAACCTGTGAGTTGGTGTAATCTCGATCTGACATCGTAAACTGCTTCGTGAGTAAACGAACGCATTATTGATATGCTTTATGTGCATGTTTTTTCGGCAGTAGTTCTGTATACTCCTCTTATGATTCTATATATTGACAGTGGTATACAAAAAAACCGCCAAGGTTGAAAAAAGCTTGATTTCAATGGGATAAGTATAGGTTATAAGCCTGTCGTATTATCAGTTGACAATAGTTTTGCACTTTGCAAACACAGTCTTCACACTTGATGAACAATTTGTCATAGGTCGAAAACTGCTGTGCATCTCAAAGATATCATCGGAACGACCAAATCGTGCAGTGACTGTGATAGCGGGCCGAACTTGAAGGACATGTCATCGAGTTCTACTGGTTTCGTGAGATACTACTCACATTTGCGCGCACTAAGAAGCGGTTGTCGAATTCCGACGGCATGCGCGAGTAGATGAAATGATTTGGTGTTGCAACTACAGAGGAGACAAACAAACTATTAGGCTGGCGATCACCGATGAGGATGCGATCACGAAAATACTAACCGATTGTGGCAAATTAGATGTTTCGTTTATCGTAGGCTTATTTACCCATATCCGATGCCGTTCTTCAAATAGATAGCTCACCTCGTACCGGCACTACGTTGTAAAGTTATAACACTGGTACCACCATCCCTCACACATATGCGACATGTGATATTTCTCTCCAGGTATCCAAGCTTCTACGAGGAGGCACTTCCGCCTCCCTTGTTTGTAGTTTTGTGCAAGTACTTTTCCTGAGTTTTTAGTCCACCTGTCAAACAAATCAATGTCCCCACTGAAATTGGCATGTGCCGGTGACAACCTCAGGACAAACTAGGGGTGTGAAATTTGCAGACGAGAGTGATCACAAGGATGTTTAACTGGTCTGGATTTTCCTAGATCGGGTGGTGTTTTCAGGATGACCATAAACCAATTTCATGTAAAGAAGCAGTAAACTATCAACGAAAAGACGTCTTGTCATATGTAGACCTTCCTGATATCTGTCGGAATGTCTGTCTGTTTGTGTGCAGACTTTTCCTCGCACATAGGTACTAGTATTCTTGGTTCGGATCCCTGCAACCTCATACGTAGATCTCGTGGTTAGAAATGTGAATAATCCTAAACTGGGTTTGCTGACTGGCTTTCTTGACCATTAGGCCCTCCCGCACATGCTTGTGCATCCATACGCGTGGCCACGGCAGGTGATGTTGTGACTGCTGGTGCTACCGCCACGGTCAACCAGGAGTGCAAAACGATCGATACACTAGTTTGCTGAATCTCACTTCACGTGTGCGCTTGTCGGGCGTTGATCAAACCCAATAAAAGCACTTGTCTGCCTATTAGGGAGCCATTCTATACCTTTCTGTCTCTCTTAGACTACCAGTGTTGCGCCGCCACTGACCATTCATATACTTCAGATTTTTCATACAAAAATGGAGGTAACATGCACATGTGTATGTCGGTTTGCACGTACGCATTAATGTAGATACTATTGACCTCCAATTCCCATTTGCCTTCCTCGTCGTCTGATTTATCTATTATTAGTATTAATAATGGTAGTAACAATACGACAATAATGAATGATCACGGATGGAACGAGCAGAAGAAATTGGTTACGTACAAGCAGCAAAACCAGCAATTTAGATATCAGGCATTTGATAAACCCTAACCACTAGGAAAACTACCTACATTGTGAGAAAGCTCATAATTATTCTTCCCATTAATTTTCTTTATACTCATATTAACTATTTTCTGAAAAATCGGTCTTCCGTCTATAGAATACGTGTCACTGTGTCACGTGTTTAAGTTACTCCTTTCGAGCTTTTCCTCCCCCTCCTACTGGATCTCGATCCATCCTAATCCAGCGTAATGGTGATGTCCACCTTCTTACTACAAGAGCAATTGAATGCCGCGGAAAAGATCGGACAAATCACCGGCTGCCCTAGGACTCGATTAGGCCGTGGTGTTGTGGTTTCAACGCACCCGTAGTTAGGTGTAATGATAACGTCCACCATCACCACCATGAACTCTCAGTAGCACTGTGCATCGCTGTTTTGCGTCACTTTGTTTAGTGTTCGGTGGGTTATTTGGCATTGAAAGTCGAAATTACACCCTTCTCGAATGAACTTGAGATCCGTGGTCTTGACTAATACCTAGTAAAATCTCCATCCTCAAACGAACGCTATTGATTTAATGAAAATCCAACAGTGTTTGTTGTTAGTTCATACGACGTTTTATATAATATATAAAAATTCTAGATTTCCGATAAGACTAATCAGGGATTGCTTGTGAAGACCATTGAAGTAAACAAATTTTAATGAACTTGGTAAATATTTTTCACCTGGGTTTCATGTGAAACTGCATACGTTCATTGACATGCAGTCAATACTTTCTCCAATTAGTTCCTTGGAAAAAGTAAGTCGGTTTCCTGGATATCATGAATTCGAGGAGATTTCGGCACAAGAGACCAATCTCCACAGTGCCACGAATTCACATAGCTGTGCGTTATATTCCTATGGTATATCACTCAGATTCGCTGGGTTTGTCTCCAGCGACTTTCTGAAATAAAATTTTGAGAAAATTTGCCAATTCTCATTAAACTTTTGCTACACTTATTCCAAATTGATCCGGAGAAGTGAGCGCGTCGGATGTGAGCAGAAAAAATGAATTATTAGTAGATCATTTTCGAACGTCACTTGAAGAATTTTTGGCAAATCGAGGGGAATAATCATTCAAAAGTACTTTGCATTGGTCTTCCTACTTTTTGCATACATTAAAGTTTATGTATACAGCGGCAGGGTAATGACTACCTAATATGCTATTCGACTATTTTCTGAATAAGATAGACATCATACTTAAGGTTGCCTTTTTACCACTTCGATTTCCTTAGTTGGTTGTAAACTGTGCGGATTTCATCGAATTGCAAACAATCTTGTAACTCTTTCATTACCGAGTGCATGGGACAGCCATCAGTTGTAGTGCACTGCTATGGGATAGATTAATTTCCTTCACGACACACTCGATTTATTACTGTTGGGGGATCATTTATTTGGCCTCTCTCAATATCGGTTCTGATGATCCTAGAAACTCTGGGGTTGGCTACTTCTCTTATTCTCCCGGGGCAGCATTACCATTATGTGGTACGGTTGCTGTTTTTCCATGGTTGACCGGCATTGTATTCACTACTCCAAATGTGGGGTTGTTGTGTTTAGGATGTTTCTGCCTGACAGATGGGAAATTTGTACTAATAATCTGCACCAAGTCTCAGTGCCAAGTTTTATTAAATTATGATTTCAAAGTCAAATTTTAACCTATTTTTCATTTATTTTTCACTGACTTTTTCACTATCAAGTCCATTCAGAGGACTGTAATTTTAAGTCACTTTCTTCTGGAAAATATGTCTGCACATCTGAAAATACCATCTCATGATGGTTTGAGCGATTGTGTAAGCCGCCCACGTCTTGTGTCATCGATCGGATTTGTTCAACTGCGAACTTTCACCACTACGGGTTCTTGCTGTTTTGCTCTAAGGTTTCTTACAGTTGTCACATTGACGTCATTGTCACTATTTTTTGACACGTACAATATTCACAGGAAATGTTATCCCCGTACTAGATGAACGCTTATCAGATAGAGAATGATCATGGGAGGTAGTTTCTGCCTGATGTTCCCTCTTGTGCGTAACACAGTCGTACACTGTCAGCTTTATCCCCTGTTTTTTCGCCCTGACATTTACGACATTGGGATCCGACGTGCCACCGACTGATAACAGGTGTTTCTGGTGTTTTTACTTCTGTGTGTGTGTGTTTAAGGAGGGGGGATTTGTGCAACCACATTCGGTTCCAAAAGTGTTCTGTTTGAGACATTTCCTTTCTATATGACCATCTAACAATATCTTAAGAAGGCGAAGCAAGTAAAGTACTCCTCATAAAATCACCTGTACCCACCTGACGTAATTCGTTCATCTTGGTGAGTGCGTGTTTAACGATCATGTTTAGTAGCCTACCAACGAGGATGAAAGAACGAGACAGGGTAAAATAAACAAAATTATCTAGGCTTTTGCTCTTCTGCCATATTTCTAAGGGGTATATTGCTGGGTGCAATCGCGAATGGTCAACACCCTCTGGTAAACATTGTAACAGATTGCATTTGTAACTTGATTATTTTTGTCTGGAAAATTATTCGTTACCGTCACCAGTTTTGTACGAGAGAGAAAGAACGATGATAATCTTTGTTTGAAATAGATTATTTCTATTGTAAATACAGACCTGCGATCGTTCGCAAAAGAAGTCTGGTTATACGCTCAATTTGAACAAAATCGCCTTGGTAACGTAGCTAACCGAAGAAGAAAGTGCAAGGGAACGTTGACATAAAAGCTGGTTTCTTGATCCCGCGTTTGAACAATGTAGGCTTTGCATTCAACGAGAAACCACATACTGGGAGATTAGTACATACTTTAACTGTGTTAGGAAATAAAGAAAACTGAAAGACCGTTTTGGCATCATCATGATGAATATTTGCTTGTATGCGGGATGGCAGGGCCAAAGTTACAGGAAGAAGAACTTAATAGGCGAACTCGGAAGACGAAAAACCAAAATATTAACGGTAGAAAGGAAAAGGTGGAACAGTTACCCAATGGTAGGCCAGTAACTGCAGTTAGAAGTTAGAAAACGAACATTACCCTGTCTGATCGTCTTAAGTTAAACACAATTGAGAAGCGAAAGAGCAGATAGCAAACCTTCACCCTTGACTGCTGCATCCAACAGTAGGACAGATTTGAGCTATGTGCAACGGGAGAAACCTAGCTGGGAACGAAGAGGCGTCTGGTACGAAGTAAAAAACAAACACGCATGCAGTATTAGAAACAAGGTGCTGAATAAAAAGGGATCAAAGGATAGAGATGAACAGAAGGACTTGTGTTTCAGAGAGTTTGAAAAGACGTTTTTGAAGCATAAATGTAACATAACTAAGGTAGCCCTGGGAGATATGCTCGAGGTCAGAGTCTAATACTAATCAAACTGCAATACGACCAAGATCGATGCTAACTCCGGGGTTATCACAAGAAAAGGAGCAATGGAGGGTGGCCTCATCGGTAAATAAATAGTTATTCAGCTGTGTATACTGCTAAAATTGTTCTCGGTATTGCCATACCAAATTCTTTGCGCACTCTTATTTGTATTGGCCGACGCTCTGCTCTTTTCACGTTGAGTGAGGGGATCACAAACGAATCTTTTTACTGTTGAAATCCGGTTTACTCTTGCCATTATTCAAGAACTTATTACAATTGAGCACAGTGGCGATATTGGTCAAACTGTTTAAATTGCTTTCATTGGCGTTCAGTGTGATTTATGGTTACACATTCAAACCCTGCCACCGCCAACCATCTTTCTTCTCCTTGGTTTAGTTGCACAACGCATTTGCTATCTTCTGTTTCGTCATCCACTGCACGGCAGATATGTTGCGGGATCCTTTCACTGAATGGTGGTTTACAATGAATCCACACACCCATCGGAGGTTGTCCGTCAGTGTCATCTTGTACCCACCTCCGGAGGGTACCTTTTATCTACTAAGTCCATCTCCTTGTTAGCATAAGCCACTTGCTCATCCGTTTCGCTTAGGCTGGTCAACCAGAAACGAAGCAACGCATTTCATGCATCGTCATTGAATACTTTCCAAATCAAACTGTTAAATCAATAAAGCTCTGCCCCTTTATTTCCATAGCGTACATTACGATCAGCCAGTCATCTCCATCACATCAGACCATTACACTAAATCGCCATTTTCAACTCCATATATATATATATATATGTATCAGCCCGAGTAAGAATCAATGGCGATCAACTTACTGTTTTTTTCTTAAACCATCGAATCATGCAAACCACTATATTTTCCTCTTTTATTGTTCACTAGGCTGCATACAGAAGATAACTGAATATGCATTTTCTAGAGGTGATGAATTGATCTAATCAGCACAAAAACTGATTTGCACCTACCTCTTCATATCGTACTCCATATCTGCACGTTTGCTTGTTGACATGGAAAAAGCTTCTACAGAATTACTTAAGTGATTGCTTTCAGTTTCATTTTGTCTGATTTTGTAAACTTGCATCCACAAATATGGTGTAAAATTCTGAAAATTCACCCATTCGGGTGCATAAAGCTACTACTGATTTGAGTTGACTCGACCGCGTATACACACATATTTTCAAACAACCTGACGTCCCTACTCTTCTGTTGTTACTCATGAAACGTACTGAGCAACGCAATTTGGATCTC